GGGGCTTTAAGGTAAGGGTGTGAATGTATTTGGTGGGGTTATATTGGCAGTGTTAGGATGACAGGCCTCCTCCCAGAGGCCAATAAAGGCGTCAGCAGCCGGGACCAGATTTATGACGGCCATGCTTAGTGGAAAGGATGATGGGGGATGGAGAGGAGGCTCTCACTATCAAGGATATCTTATGCCTCCTTTGAGAGTCGCTCCCTCTCTCTCTCTCTCTCTCTCTCTCTCTCTCTCTCTCCAATTTCACCGCTCTCAGTCTGTTGCATTGTCTCTGTATTCCCTCTCTTTATTGTTATTTATCTTATTATTTTAGTTTTCATATTTCTGTCTTATCAGAGGCTGTGTTCCTCGTGTTTTACTTTCACCCCTCCTCTCCTGCAGCACCACGCAGAAGATTGAGGGGCTTTAGGCAACAATTGTTTCCTTTGTCTGTTGGCCACAGCTCTCTTTTTAACAATGTAACTCAGACAAACCTTTTAATTCCTTGTAATTGTGTGAAAGAGTGAGGCAAACAGTGGGTTTGCTGATCCATCTTTTTAGACTATTGCTCTTTAGCACTGTAACAGTATGCATTGATGTTGGATCCACTATGGCTGAGAGACACAGTCAGACAAAAGGGGAGAGAGGAATGCGAATAAAGAGAGAATTAACTAGGGATAGCATGAGACAAAGAAAGAATAGTGACAGAGAGTCTTGAGTGACTTTTCAAAATGACGTCTCATTACAATAAGGAAACTACGGTTGTACTAGAATCTATTGTCCACAGCTAATGAGGCCCGGATGAATTTATAGGAAAGATAGAGTTTTAGTGCAGACAAGAATAATACCTATTTCATACCTTGCTTTAAGGAATATATATTTATCTTCATTTAAAAAAAGAGCTAGGCCAGAGGTTTCCACATGCATCCAGTCTTTATGCTAAGTTAAGCTAATCTTCTGGGTCTCTTCTAGATCCATATTGTGCGTACAGACATCAAAGTGGTATTGATCTTCTCAAGAAAGCGATTATGCCCTTAACAAAAGACACTTAAGTGTTTTTATATACTCTAAGTAAATCACACAAATTATATTTTAAATCCAGATGGGTCTGAGCATATAAAAGTAAGTAAAGTATTGGTAACTGACTTCAGTACTCTGTGATCCAGGCACATTTCAGTCTGCACTTAAAACGTATTGAGGTTCGATACCAAGCACAATCTCCTCAAGTCATTTGAGAGTGTTAAACTCAAAACACACACCCAGACGCACAATCCATTTTTTTTCCTATATCAGGCCCCCAAAAATCCCCTGACTGTGCATCATGTCCAGCACACAGAAGTTGCAATGATTTTACAGCTCCCATGTAGGAGTATTTGAAGTCCAAGTCTTCTAGGACGTCCCATCAACAGATTGGTGTCACATGACACCCCGATACCCTGATACCCCTGCCCTGTCTGTAGTATTGTTTTGGAAAGACCTATGTGTTGCCATGGTTGCGGAGCACCAGCTATTCCCTGTGTGATTGTAGTTTTCCACCTGCAGCAGGAAAAAGACCTGTTCCCCTCCCAAACACTGTTTCCATGTAAACATTTTACAAGAATGTGTGTGCTTTGGTTCGAAGTAGAGTTTGGTTTTATTATTTTATAGTAGCTCCAGGAAGAAATCAATAAGTAGACCATTTTTTTGGGAGAACTATATAAGAAACTGCTCTGTGTTGTATATGTGTATATGTGACCTGCTCTTTAGGCGTTAGTACTGGCTTTTCTGACATATTTGCAGTTTATTCTTTTCCTGAGGGGGGATTGTTTCGGGAAACAAGAGAGAAGGGGAAAGTGAGGCAGCGCAGAGCGGGAGGAGGAAGATGTCGATCTGTGAGCAGCGTTAGGGTGATGAAGCCAGAAATTAGCAGAAACACAAGTGACCTGTTCGCAAGAGGGAGAGAAAGAAGAGACAGCAAAAGACAAAGAAAGAGGCAGTTAGATATATGCAGAGATGCAGGGATATACAAACAAAGAGCGTGAGAGCCAGACATAGAGAATCTGACTCAAGGCGACGTTAGAAGCAGCGTCTGAGCAGGGATATGAGGTCAGACGTGGTCAGACTGAAGCCCGGTGTTTGACGACCATAGGCTATAGTGACCCATTAACCAACTTGTAAAGCTCAGTCCATCCCCCATTGGAAACTGCTGGTCATACACACACATCCTACAAGTACACAAATCCATTACAGGAAATAAGTTAAGTTGGTTTGAAAATATACACAAGCAGTATATTAGGCAAGCATATTAGCAGACTGATAATGATCTCAACACTGTAGATGTATTAGTAATTATTTTATGAATGGTTAATTTGTTTATAAAATAAAACTTTGTGTTTTATTTGTAAAAAAGCAGAAAAACTGGAGCTTTTTACCTTGTAGCTCTTGCTTTTGTACCTTAGAGACATACATTCCCCAGAAGACACACTGTTTAGTCAGAGTTGCGGTGGTTCATTTGGCATTTCACGTATCCTCATTTTTCTACAGTTCATCATTATTATTCATGATTCTGGTTTTATGTGTATAGCTATGCCCCCTTTTAGCCTAGTCCTTGGTTACGGCCTAAAAATGGTTGTTTGGATGCTTAATATTTCTGGCCTTAGGGCTGTGTGGGCACTAAAGACATTCCACACACACATACAGTATGCATACACACACCCAATGAGTGTTTCCAGGGCAGGACAGTATTTTCCCAAAGAAAGGTGGTAGATTAAAACAAGTCAGCTCAGGATGATTCCTTACATGAATATGCAGAGGTAGGGTTGGGAGACAAAAAAACAAACATGGCAGGATGGTATTTGGATTTCCTACATGGTGTTTTTCATATCCACACATTGTATTTTTAGCAAAGCAGTAAATCAGTCCTTAAAATAAGCATTTCTTTTTCTAACTATGTTGTCCTCTGACAGTTTTTTTTTGTTAACAAGCTCTAAAAATGTTCTGGTGCTGCTAACTGGCATGAGTACAGATAACTAACCCCTGCCACAGGCTATGTATGTGCTTTGCAAACACATAAAATCTAACCTAAAATGATTCAGTCATTGTGCTTTGAGTTAAAAAAGGATACAATAAAGAAAAGATAGAAGGAGAAGATGAAGGAAGGTGTTACTGAATACAAAAGAAAATAAAGCGGGAGTCTGTGAAAATGATGAAATATATAAATAACAACATATGTGCAGGAGTTTTAAAATAATACTAAGGCTAAAAATGAATGAAGAATGTGTAGTACACACACTACTCAGTTTGGTTTGCTGCAGGGTTTGGCATTGTGGGAAGAGACTGTTTGCACACACACACACACACACACAGAAAGAGCTTCTATGTTGGCGTTTGCCTGGCTGGATGCCGTTGGTCAAACCAGGCGCAGTGGGCAGCACCCACCCATGAGCAGCAGCGAGTACACGGACCGAGTGGTGGGTAGGCTGAAGGTCAGACGGACCGTGGACACACTGCCGTTGTTCTTTCTATCTTTTTTCCGCTCACTCTATGACTTCGAGAGCATATGTTTGTGTATGTGCTGGTGTAAGCCAAACATTCATACAACGCAATCAGAGAGAGATTGTTGATGCAATAGAGGTACAAAGAATGACGTATGTAGATGTTCGCTGAATGCGTTGTAAAGCTACAGCATGCTTATAATTGGTGTGATCTGGAGTGCATGTGTGTGTTTGTGTTTGACTCTGGAAAGTGCTGTGGCATGTTATTAGTGTGAGTCAGCACAGAGGAGGCCCGGCAGCTCTCTCAGAAGTGCAGCTCTGTTGAATGTAGGAGTGGGAGGAGATGAGCAGAGGTCTTCAGTGACATTCAGAGATGCATGATGTCTTCCCCTCAGCTGTTACACACCAGATTCCCCGAACCGCTGACTGTACTCTCTCCCCCTGAAAGCTGAGCCATTTTAACTCACCAAAACATGTTTAATGGAAGCCACAACTTGAACGTCAAAGAAATGCGTCACCTCACTGAGTGTGACATTGTAAAACAAGTCAATTGTAGTCAAATTGTACTTTTTGACCTTTGTTTCTTGTTCTGTCTGTCTCTCCCACCTCCCGTTGTAAAGGGCAGCGCACATAATTGTAGGCAAAAGCACTTTGTGCTGGCAGAGCTGTTATTTTCCGTCACAGAAAGCGATAGCGCCCACCACAGAAGCAGGTCAGAGGGAGGTTGCTGAAAATTTCCCTGGAGATGCTGCACTCAGTGTTCAAATTATTTGAACCTTGACCCAGTTTGTAGTTGGCCTCTTCAAGTGCTTTCTCTCAGAGCTTTATGTTTTTGTATGAATTCATGAACAAAGATGCAGGGGGGGAAACTCATTTTGTGTGCCCTAGTTTCCAGACTTGCATTAATTAGTGTTGAAAATTAACTCTGCAATACACATGGCAACCTTCTGCGAGCATGAGGCCAAGCAGCAAATGTAAAATATGAATCTACCCAGTGTGCATTGTAAAGGCATGGATAACATGAATGGATTTTGGTTAAATGTAAGTTAAACTAAACTTAATGACTAAATTTGTGTTTTGAGACGGTTTAGCATCACCAAATGTGAGATCTATATCTCTCTGTCTGTGTCCTTCTTAAAACTGAGTGCAGTGCAGTTTACAATAGACATACAGACATCTTTTGACCTGCAGATTAGAGGTCGACCATGAATCGTCCAGGTCCATATCAGCCCATATTAGCTTATTGCAAATAATGGTAATCCTGTATATGTTGGCCAATAAGTAACAAGGACTTGCTGTACAGAAATACCAAACTTGGTTTGAGGTAATTTAGTAGCAGCGTCACCGTTATATAGTTTGACATTTGATTGATTTTTCATGTTTTCATGTTGTAAAATGTCCCGCCCAGTATTAAAAAGAATCTCTTTTGGCCAATAGATCAATATACCATTTTGTATGTGTCTGCTGAAAACTGTCACATAAAGCAAAAACATTAAGACAGTTCAAAGAAGTACTAACTTTTTGTTTTGATCTCTCCCGTTACAGATGGTCATTTCGCCGGGACCCCTCCCACCTACGGTTACGATGCAGACCGCGCAGAGGAACAGCGGAGGCATCATGACATCCTGCCGTACATCGATGACTCGCCATCATCTTCACCGCACCTCAGCTCCAAGAGCCGCAGCAGTCGGGACACCCTCTCCTCTGGATCATTAGAGTCGTCCAAGTCGGTCAGTGTGCCATCCAATCCAGTACACCATCTCCTTCTGCTGGCCATTACAACTGCCACATTTTCAGCTTCCTCAGCTGCAGAAAAACAAACCCAAAGCTACTTAATATTCATGACTTTTTTTATGTGAATATGAATATATTCTACAAACATGGGTGCCAATAGGGGCCAACACTTCCATCCTTCGACCTCAATACAGGTCAGGAAATGGGCTAATCTATTCTTAGAGCAATCCTGTCAAAAATCTGTCAATTGATGAGAAATCAAATTCGCCATTTAAGAGGATTGATAAAGCACAATATTGTCATGCCCCATAACCCCAGAGGCATTCATCCAGAGAAGAAACTCATCCCCTTTAAGAGTCTGGCTTTACTCATCCAGGGTATTAGGCAGAATTACCTATCACCTCCATCACCCCATCACTGCCTTCATCCTCTTACCCTCCCTCCTTTGCTTTTTTCCCTGTCTGCGGAGAAAAAACCAGTGATCTATGACGTCTGGTTCTCTTCAAAGGTTACCATGGAGAGGACACAGACATGCATACACACACATTCACACACACAACCCCAGCGTCAGCAAAGATGAAAATGAACATGGATAGAATCCATATAATCATTTTTTTTATTTTTTTATTTAGTATTTATCTTTTTCCTCTTTATTATTTACATTTTATAAAGTTTTATTAATATTTTTCCTGACTATCATCACCATTTACACATAGTTTGCACCAAAGAATTGGCAGGTATCAGATCAACATGCTCGAGCTATGTGTTCGATTAGGACAGAGAGGTATTGTGGGAGAATGTAATGGGCTAATACTGTCTCCCTCCGATGTGCCCTTGGAGGAAGTAATCGCATCAGTGGTCATGATGTGGGATCAGTTACTCCGCCCCCTCAGTCTTTGCTCACTATATGTGCTGGTGAGCGAGGGAGCCTGTCAATCTGATTGATGGCTTGAATCTGCCAATAAATGATGAATCCCTTGACATCATCCAACCTTTGACCTGTGAGCTCTCTCACAAAGACACACGCGCATCTATCCATTCTCTCAGAGCAGAACGATACATTTATTGTAGAAGGGATTGAAAGCGATTGGCAGGGTAAACACTCGTGTGTAGAATCCCTGAGCCAACCTGACGCTGTGGGTGTGTGTGTTTAGGTTTTCCAGAAGCAGAGTCTGATGGTCAGTATCGCCATGAAAATTGAAAATGTAGTTACCATTGTCCTTGATTTACCCTTGGACAGCCGCTCTTCAAACATCATCCGAGTCTGCTTCTCTAATTGATGATTCAGAACCCAGAGGAGCTCTGATTGGCTCAGCGGAAGCTGATGGTTTTTTGATGTCACTTTGATGAGTCATCAGCATCAGCATATTGCTGATTTAATTTTCCACAGTGGCTCTAGTTCTCTCATAATCTGACTGCACCGAGGAGGGAAAAGAAGGGGGTCACTGATTGGAAGTCAGCCAAAGTATGAGGACAGTGGTGTGATGTTGACACAGGTCATTCAAGGACAGTCACAGACCACTATTTTTTCCTCACCAAGTTAAACATCTTTAATGTTCTTCAATATCAAGTATTGTTATTGAGCATTTACTGCTTTTTTTTATTTGATAGCAGAGATGATGACAAAAAATGAAGGAGAGAGAGATGGGGAATGACAATTATGGTCTTTCGCCAGCTTCGAACCTGAGATGTTGCAGTTTATGGTCGGTGCCTTAAACCCTTGGCCACCAGATGCTTATGTTGTGAGCCGTTTTCTCTATTCCTGTGGATCCCCTAATTTATATTAAAATAGCTCCTCATTTTCTTTGCTCCCTCATCATGTCAGACATCACACCTCAAGGCCATGACCTGAGGAGGGAGGTCACTTATTTTCCGACCCAGCCAGAGCTAAACCTCTCTCGATGATCAACTGTAGTGGAGGCTTGTAAAGATTGAAATCTCCCTCGTTATGATCTATCACATCTATGAAAAACGTTCACTGATTGAAGAGCTCGTTCCCTCGCAATTAAAGTCATGGTGTGATGCGGCATTGCGAGCATCCTATGTGGAAAATCCCTGCAGACACCAACTCTGTCTGTCTATCACATCTGGATGAAATGCAGTTTAAATAACCAGAAGTAATGCAGCACAGGATAATTATAAGACAGCTCCATTACTTAGCAGACGTGTAGAGATAGGAAGCAATTACATTAGGCATTTCAGAAAGCGAGGGATGGCAGAACAGGATGCTAAACAGATTAGAATATGAAAAATGAAAATTGAAAAGGGTTAATAAAGTGTGGAGCAGGCCATGCATTGCTGCTCTCTTCTCTCCTCTCCATCCTGGCTCTGAATGTTTATAGGAGTCTTCTACACTCCATGGGAAAGAGACAGAGATGGAGAATAATGTTGTTACAGTCGCTGCTGCTCAGTTTCCATCTGCGCCTCCTGAGCTACATCGGTGCACTCGTCAAATAAACACTGTTTGTATTGATTGTTGCGTATCTCCCACGAGCATTATCCATGCATAAACAAATCAGAAGCGACTCTCAATTCCTAAATCATGTTAGGTAGAGCCACCGCTAAGGGGTGTTGTGTGAGCTGAAAGGGTTCAAGTGCGGGTTCAAATGTAAAATATTAGCTTTTGCTGACTCTGTTGCGCATAAAGGACATGAACATGTAAACACACCAACCCGAACTTACCCCAAGCAGGGAGAATGTGCTTTATTTTTACTTTTTTGATTACCAAAAAAATGCAGGCAGACACCCCTTTAGTCTGAACCCAGAGATGGGCTCATTAGTTGCCACGGCGATAAATAAAAGATGATATGTCTGGAGATGTGGGTACTTCCTTGGGGAGTCGTCTGGGGTCTGAAACGATGAATAAACACTTTATGGCTCTCCTCTGCCCTCTGCTAGTTCAGTAACATGTGGCTGAATGTTAAAGTCTTCCTCCTTGTGATTTGCTTCAAAAGATCTTGATGCTTCAAATGGACCCTCATGTTTCTCATGTTCTCTTACCAGCGGGCATATCCTGTGAGGATAAAGTCACATAGCTCATGCCGATACTTGTAGCTCAGCAATGATTCATTCATTTTTCATTAATTCAGGAACATTCAGGGGGCTCTGTTGCCGCCCCAGGCTTTCCATTTTAAGTCTGTAGAGTCAGACAGATTCAAAGCCGCTGCAATGCAATGTAATCATTTAAGAGCAATCATAAATGACTTACTTATTTACCTTCAGTACCCTTTTATTTGGACTCTTAAGAGTTTGTACCTAATGAGCAAGTAGAGCTTTTTTTCAGGGGAAACTGATATTGTTATGTACAGAGCAGATCCCCAGACAGCTGTATGTGATGCATAATACATGTCTGTCAGAATCATTTCCTTCATCCTTCACCTAAGAAAGAGACAAAGAAAGAGAGAAAATATACTGCAGAAATATTAACTATTAAAGACATAATAAACAGTGTGATGAGCATATGCATATACTTTAGATACTGTCCCATCCTACTTGTAGTCTGTGCCTGATTTCTCCGACCTATATCAATAAATCAAGTCAGGCCGCAACGATTAGTCAATAAACCAATTAGTTGATCAACCAAGAAATTACTCAAATTGTGTTATTTTTAAGGCAAAAAAACAAACATTCCCTGCTTCCAGGGTCTCATGTGTCAGGATTTGCTGTTTTTCTCTGTTTTACTTAACTTTTGGACTGTAACCACATAGAGAGTAAATAAAAAAATAAAAAAAAAGATTGTATCAACTTCAAGTCAAGTTGTTGAAATTCAATCTAAATTTATAGTGGGCTTGATGTGTTTGTTGCTTTTAAATCATGCTTTTTGGCTTACAGGCTAATCATGTAGTAACAGTGCTGATAATGGACTCCATAATAATCCTGGACCATTTTATAATCTTCTGGGCTATAACGGTCCCCTAACACCCACACTTATGCAGTGGCCATGGAAACAGGTTTTACCCATTTACCCCATGTACACCCACGACCAAGCACTCACTCACAGTACTGTACATGCTCAAATGCAGTTCACACATCATTTTAGCATGCATAGTTATACAATGTATGAATTCTGCTGTGTAGGTATGTAGTTGTATAATTACAAGTGGTGTAACAAATACTGACACAAACTGACAATATCTAACACTGCCTTGGGCTCTGGGAAATTGCGATCGGCATTTTCCACTATCTGACATTTTGTAGACTAAACAATTGATCAATTAATCTAGAAAATAATCAGCAGGTTAAAGCTTAAAGAATAGGTTAACATTTTTGCAAGTCTATCTTAAAATAACCTGATACCTCGTGTCAGAAACACTAGCTTGAAAGAAAAAATGTGAACCTTTAAAGGATAAGTATACAAATTTAAGAATCTACAAAACATACAAAAAAAAAAAACTATAAAATACACATACACTTCCATTCATATGCTTTTCTGGCTCTCATTTTGACTACTGGATGGATTTCCTGCATGTTCTTTCATGCTGCTCCCCCCTGCCCCAACACACACACACACACACATACATCCACACACACATCCACACAGCAGCAGCTTAAGTCCAGCAGGCTGAATCAGCCCTTATCCTAACCAAATCTCATGTACTTCTTTCTTTCACATGTTGAACCCATATGATTGCTGTGCTGTGTAAACATACGTGGCAGCATTAGGGTGTAACGTCTATAATATCAGAGCAGATCCTCCTCTGTCCTGTAATACACTCATTCAATTTGATCTATTTCTACTTCCTATGGCCATTCTTTTTTTTCTCATTCTGCCTTTTGCTGTTAAGGTGCATGGTGCAGTGACCTAGCTTATCTTTGATTTTGTCTCCCCTTGTCTCCATTTCTTACTGTCTTTTTCCATTCTCTATTGTCAAATAAGTAAATGTATTTATGTATGTGATTCCCACAACCATTGTCTCCCCCTCATCATGTCAGATATTTTGCCCTCTTTGTCTCTCTCCTCTCTTAATTACACTGAATCTGCATTTCCATCTCCATCTCTTTTTTGTTTGTCGTTCTCTTTCACCCCTCTCCCTGTTTTCTCTCTTTCCTCCTCCTCATAGCCAGAGGGACCGGATGCTTCCACGTCCCAACCTGGGCTCACTGTGTGTGTGTGTGTG